CTCTCGCACAGAAGGCCGACCACTAACCAACTGATCCAATCCTTGTTCCTAATAGCTGTTTGGAGACTTACAATCGCGGCTCCACCCATCATCAAACGTTAGTTTGTGCCACATGACCAATTTGGACGGTCTCTGTTCATATCCTATTTTGAGAAACTGCACGGCGTTTCCTGTTCGTCGCAAACGTGATTCTAAAGTTCTCTAATTATAATGTACTTTCATTGTTTACCCCCCCCCCCCCAAATTTTGCATAACCATTGTTTCCAATCTCCCCTGGGTATTACGGTTGTCCCAAGAGAAATAGAAGACTACAGTTATGCAAAATTTTTAGCGGGTTAACAAGGTGCATTATGGTCTATATGAAAATGGTGAATTCCTAAAACTTATTCTCGAGAGCAAACAAGGCTAGGAGGTGAATCCAATGTATGTATTTTATTAATGAAAGTGTCATTATTCCTGGCGAAGCGCCGAGCGAAGTGAGTTTATAATCTCGTCGCGCGCGAAGCGCGCGCAGTGCGTGAACCGCGTGTGAGTCCTAGCGAGCTGCAAAGTCGCAGTTTTCATCTTTACTTGTATATATCCGATGGTGTCCGCCATGACGTCATACAGTAGTTTGACGTCACGGCGCATTTTTGTTTCTAGGCAACATTGGACTGAAAGCGACTTCGAATTCCCATCAATGACCAAAGTACATGTATTCATGAAGAGCTGTCTTTTCGTCGTCTGCAAAACAATGTTTACTAGCCATTTTTCATGCAAACAGAACAGCAAACACAAGAACGCCGAATTGTCAATCCTCGTAGGGGAAGATTTGACACCGAAAAATCCTCTGGAGCGCGAACGCCGACTTGAAATTCAACGACGCAAGCAACAAAGATGGAGACGGCATCAACAAACAGCGGAGCAGAGGGAACATCACTCAATGAATTTCGAATGCTAAAGTACTTTAAGAGCAAATGGAAGCGATTTTGGATAATTTAATAGCCTTAACATATGAGCGAACATCGCGGTAACAAAACACGTTTTGCTCGCAGACGAGTTTATACCGTATCGGCCTAGACTGTTGGGCTTACATCCTTTACATGTTAATGCGCTGTAATGCATCTACGTTGGATTTTCACTGTCGAAACTGCAGTCGTTCTTCTGAAAAATATCTTTGAATTCACGTTAATAAGGCTTGAACAGGGGGCTTGAAGGTTTTAATAATAAAATTTCGCTTAATTTGCTTGTGTGTTCCACGTGGCCTAGTGGTAAAGCCTTAAGCCCGGTATGTCGAAGTTCCGGAGTTCGATTTCGCATATAATTTTTTCTCTTCGCTTCTTTCTTTTTTTTCTTTTAGTTTTCATTTTAGATTTACAAATTTCCTTCTCGGCTTTACTTGCCGTTCCCCCGAAGTCCTTCGCGAGGTCCTGCGATTTACGTATTTCTAGTTTTCACTTGTTTACAGCATGATTTATTCCTCGCGAAGTGCTGAGCCGCGAGGTTTATAATCTCGTCGCGCGCCAAGCGCGCGTGTTTCAGACGAGCATCGCAAGGCCAGCGTGATTTTCTCTTGGCTATAAATCTATCGAGTTTGGTTGGTGTCCGCTTTGACGTCATCCAGAGTAGTGACGTCAAAGTGCATTATGGGTGTCCAGGCAACCGATTGCCATCGATGACAAAGCTTCGGGCGATGCTCCGGTCTTTATTCATGAAGACGGGAGGTGATTCACCGACCGTAAACATTGTTACGCGAGAGAGCACTGGGAATAGTAAAATATTACAGAAAAAACATTTTCAACACCAACAATTCGTTAAAAATTTCCGGCCTCCACAGACTAGACGTTTAGTTGTCGACAACTATTTTTATCGACTACTAAAGTTAACGACAACGAGAAAAACGCAGTGTGTGAGGCGAGTCGTCGTCAAGAAATCGCAAATTTCAGTTGTCCACAACTAAGCAGTTTCGACCCTTTTCGGAAATTAAGGAAACTGCTAAGTTGTCGACAACAAACAGTTGTCAAAAAGTACGCTTTTGACCTTTTTTTCTAGTGGGTGGAGACAAACAATTTACTTTGACAACTATCGTATTTGATCGTAGCTTCGTTCTCAATGGTCATGTAGTTGTCTTTTCTACAAACATAACAAATGGTCGGAGGCAAGTGAAGCCATTTACACGAAAGAGAATATTATTTCGGAACACCAACACGGTATTGGAAGCTCATGCTAATAACAGGCTTGCCGTTATTGCCCCAGCTTGTGAACAGCAAGTTTTAACAGAAATTCTTAATACAACAAGTATCGGTTCACCTTGCTCTCCATCCTCACTTTGCCCCTCCACATTAGATATCACATGTATCATATCTTCCTTACCGAGTTTGAAAATCGACTTTCTCGACTGCGAGTGTTTCCCTTGCACGCCGCCACTGGCGCGGCTCATTCGACGCTAGGCGCTTATTAAATTTTCACCATTTTCACCCACCTCAGCAAGTGCAGTATGTTTATTTTGTAACAAAAAATAAATGGTAATAAAAAAAAACCGCGAAGATGTAACAAAGCAAAGTTTCTGTAAAATACTCAGAACAAAACTTAGTTTTCGGGGAAGTCTCTTGTTAGTACTTACTCAATTTTTGGGCGGGTGGGAAGGAGGAAGGGGGTTGGGGATATGCGCTTATTTGAGTTTGAGCGGGAGGGAGGAGGGTGGGGTGGGGATTAGTGCTTATTCGAGACTAAGCGATTATTAACTTTTTTTGCCTTTAGGATGGGCGCTTATTCGAGGTGGGAGCTACTTCGAGGTTGGGCGCTTATTCGAATAAGTACGGTATTTTGAAATTTCGGCATTAACTGAAAATTAAGAATTTGTTCATGCTTAGCGTGCGTATATCGAGTTATGGATGCACGCGGGAAGTTTGGAGAGCACGAAAGATGCGTAAGAGTTGCACGAGGCGATAGCCGAGTGCAACTCTAGCTTCTTGAGTGCTCTCCAAACTTTCCAAGTGCATTCATAACTCGATATACGCACAGCTAAAAGCATGAGCAAATTCTTTTATAACATAGCTGACAAAAATGCTTGCTTTTTGATTAGCTGCAAAATTCTCGTAACGCGCGACACAATAACAAACGTTTCTATAGATGGCTTTCACAGTGACGTCATCAACTTGTAAAGTCAAAATAGCGAGATTTTACGAATTCTTATTAACACTAGGTTGAGGATAAACAAAAAGTGAATCTTTTTACAGGTTTTCATTCCCGTAGCATGTTTCATTTCGAAAATACAGCAATTTGAACTTCCGAGTTTTCACAGTGCTTGACACCAAAATTGGAATTGTCTCGTTGCAAAAAAAAGTATCTCCTCTTGATTTTTAGCAGTATAACCATTCCAAGTATTAGAAGATATTTTTTTGCGCACGTATGCTAGTTCTCGAGTGAAAAGAAGGAACTTTTATAGAAAAAGTGTACTCCAGATGTTTTTGTTGATTTTCGGCGGCCATATTGGTGCACCAAAACTGTGCACCAATATGGCGTCTCTATACAAAGCTCTACAAAGGTGCGTGAAACGTTTCGGCAAATAACTCGGAGACTGTGGGCCACAAAGACCTGAGACTTGGACAAATTGTTTAAAAATTAGTCTTTTATAACATTTCATTTTCTTGGCTTCTTCCACTGGACGGTTTCTAATTTATTTTTTTGTTGCGTGACAGTGAAAACGATCTATTGGCTGATTACGAACACGCCACAATCGTCTAGTTTGAATGAAAATATTCTTTCTGTGAAAGTGAGAAAGAAAATTTGCTTCTTTATTGTTAACGATCAATGGAAACTAAGCAGAAACAAAGGTAAAAGAGTCTTAAAGTTCACCTAAAGTTAAAATACTAACATGTTCGTAAGAAGTTGTGGAGTATGGTTCGGATTTGCTGAAAAGATGTTTACGTTTTGCTCGGCGAAATCCAGAAAACATGTTTTTTAGCGAAGAAGACTGTCATCCTTCTTTAAACTTATATTCATTTACGAACATTGGCTGGTCATTACGGCTTCTTGAGAAGACCTGGCAGAAGTTGTTTTTGTGAGTAATAAATTTATGTCTTCTTGTGTAATTTGTGTTGTTATTGCGATAGAAATTTTCCTGCTTAAGTCGGATTGTACGGATATAACAAAGTGCATAACAAATTTAAAAATAACAATAAAAACGGAGATTTTGCCTTTAAATGTTGTTGATGACCAGTTGGTGTTTGTTCTGTTCCCAGTGAATGTCTTTCAGCAAAAAATTTGCTGCAGCTCGTCTTCGACAAATTTGCGAAACGCTCAACTTGCGAGTTTTTTTTTAATTCGGCTTTACTTTTGCTGCTTGTTGGATCGGGACCTAAAAGGTCAATGCCGATAGAAAAATTGGGCAGTTCTTCGCTGGTTTCTTCCATATTTTAAAGAGAAGGAAAAGTGCACTGCAGCTTAAAAGACGACAACTTTGCAGCCAGGTAAAAAAAAAAATGCTGACGTCATCTTATTTACGCACGGGCGTGCGTAAATAAAGATTTTGTTCATAGCGGCTCAATAGGACTTATATAGGGCAAGCACGCGCGCTATGTTATAACAGCAGTTTGCAGGAGGAAACCGTCTCAAAGACCAGCCACTGATACTTCTCTGATGAAACTTTCCGCGTTTTAATGGGGATGGAGTGCTGACAGCAGACGAAAAAAGCATGGTAATAAGGATCTTTTAACGTTTATTTCAAACTTGTACCATAAACTTAGAAAAAAAGTACCGAAACTTGAGTGAATTCAAGCGAAAGATTCAGTCACAAGCTATTTGTGAACAACAAGATGAATTTCTTCCCACGTGGCCAACAAAGCTGAGGCAGTACTTGACCAACACAGAGGACAAGTCATTTCCTTTATCCTTTCTTGATCAATAGGCACCGAATTGTTTTAAAAGTTTGCATTTAGCTAGATTTGGGTTTCCAGAAACTAAATATAAGTAACCTAGCGGAATTTTTGTCCACTCATTCAGGATTTTTGATTGATCAATTAAGGGTCCCACCACACGTCAATTTCACGAAGGTAGATATCTTCACTGTAGTCTTCCGTGACTAAGATTTTTAGGCATTTGACTCTATCGCTGGACTGATTAAGAGATATATCTGCTTTTCCTTCCCTGAATTCTGTCAAAGTCTTAAAACGTTGACATGTATTGGCTTCACCCTTGGTAGACGCGAAACTGGCTTGTAGAACACCATGGTGTAGCAAACTGTTACTCGCTTCATAACTGCCCGTGTCAACAAACACCTTTCTTACAGCAATTGGTGCGTTAAATTTTATAAGGACGTAGTTACCTTTTCTTTGATGACTCGCCCAAAAATAGCCGCTACCCTTCTCATAAGCATCTCGTGGTTTTCCTTTGTTAGAGGACATTGACGAAGTGACGATGGCAGGAGGGTTGCGTCCCCTGTACTTTTGGTCATACTGGTCAAAAAATGGTTCCCTCTGCTCCCTTCCTGATAATCCTTTTTCTTTAAGAGAGGACTGATCTCCGATGTGTTGAAAAAGCGACGCCGGAGGCAATCGACGCGAACCTTGTTTCTCGTCTTTGATTTTTCGCCAGTAATCCATCAACCAATCAATGGGCATTTCATCAAACATGAGATAAAAGTATGAAGCGATGTTTGCCAGGTCGTTCGACTGATACGCTTTTGCTTTGCTTCCCTGGATAGTCAAATCAAGCATCAACCAAGACTTTACACTTTGAGTCTTAATGAAACCCTGTAGTTTAGGGAAAAAGCTAGGAGAAGAGATGACGTCGTCCTCAAGGTGAATGTAATACTGTGATAGATCCTTGCAGTAACACATGACGAAAGTTGCATCTAAGTTTTCCTTTGATCGCCATGTTCTCCTGCTATCCGAGTCGCCATACTTTTCTTTTATGTTATTTAGTGGTGGGTAAAATTCTGGATATGCTTCGATCACTGTCAAAAGACCCTCATCAATGTATTTGCGGAAGTTTTGAGTAAGCTCGCCCTTTGCCGTTGATTTCGGCGATTCATTAATGTCTGCCAGAAATACAACAATAGAAATGTCTTTCTTGTCCACATCGTTTGTGTTGTCGATCAAACTTTGAATAGTTTGTAGCAAATAGTTGGCTCCCGATGGTCTTGCAACGGACGCGATACCAATGGACAGAAATCCTATCAAAGAAGCACACAGTCTGCGGTTAGTTTTTGTTTACAATTACGTATACCTTAAATACAATTTGTACTTCGTTTTTTCTCCTGCTCTTTTGCTGGAATAATGATCTGGGGTCAGGATCCCATTCCTGTGGGGTAACACCTTTTAGTATTTACCAAATCAGTGAATAGCAATTTCTGCGCGTTTTGATTGGCTCCAGTGACTCTGAATATCCTATTCACGAGATGGCATCTCGTTTCAAGAAATTTTCGGAAGACGAAATTTGAGCGATAAATGAAGCAGTCGTTCAAACAAATACCAAAAAAGCGACGAACTTCAGTGGCTTGTCGGTGTTTACTGGTGGGTAGAAAGTTATTTTCACGTTCAATTTGCAACAAATTCGTAAAAATGCACTTGACAAAATCCCCGAAATCTTCCTACTAAGTGACATTTTTAATTTACAAGAAGTTACTTTTTTCATTTTTATCCAACTGATCTGGTAAATACTAAAACATCCCCCTCAGGGTCGATGAAGAGCGCTAGATAAATACATCGACGCTTCGCCCTTTCCGAGTAGTAAAATAACGGCACTTTTTCATCAGTCCAGAGCTTTTCCACGTTTGGAAGTGATTTGATTGGCCACCAACATGAGCGGCTTAGGCCGGTTCAGGAATTTACCGCAGGCATTTTCCCAAGCGTTAAAATCCTGCGGCCATTTGCCTCCCTTGAGGTTAGGCATATGACAAACTGCGGTAAGATAGTTGATTACATATCCGGTCACAAACAATTTGATGTTGCGTCTGCTATTTCCAATTTTAAAAAATTCTCTCTAAAAATATTCTTCGTTTGGAACAGTTAAAACAGAATCAGAGAACATTTGGATCTGTTGACGGTGACTTTATAAAAACCAACAGAACAAAGAACACAAGCAAGATGCTGCGTTACTTATTGGGGTTAATTTATTACAGCAATACCATATTCGGAAATATTAGCGGGAAAAATGAAGTAATCTCGCTCTACTGCGCGCTCAAATGCCATGGCATTCAAGACGAATTTTTTTCTCGTTTAATTTTCGCTTGTGCACAAGCTGGCTATCTTGTGATCTTCACTGAAACAGGTAAATAATTACTATCAGGGCCGCAAGGTGAGTAATTACAAATCTTTACATAAAGAAAACGTTTTAGCTATAAATGCGAGCGGACTGTTATGTCGAAGACGTGACGCTATAAAGATGCTAATCGAGCTTGATCTTAATGTTTGCTGAAGCTCAGAAGTGGTTATGAGGACCAGCTCAGTGGCTAATGAAACTGCTAAAAATTATGGCGTTAATATCAATAAGGCCGAGAGGCTTCGAACAGGACAATCATTTTAGTCGTAGAAATGTTATATAGACCCGATACATGTAAATATATGCCGGCCTATAAAACATCTGGATCTTTCCTCAGGAAATATCTCTAAACTTGAGCATTAAATATATAGGCATGCTGAGTGATATTTCAAGCGAAGAATTGATCCTTATTTGCCCGGGTCTATCAAATACACTGGGGCATTAATCAGTTTACCTGTGTTTAACAAATACAGCAAATACACTGGGCTGTTAATTTGCCTTTGTCTAACAAATACCGTAGTTTGCCTATGTTTAACAAATACACTGGGGCATTAATTTGCCTGTGTCTTACAAATACACTGGGGCATTAATTTGTCTGTGTCTAACAAAATACACTGGGGCATTAATTTGCCTGTGTTTAACAAAATACACTGGGGTATTAATTTGCCTGTGTTTAACAAAATACACTGGGGCATTAATTTGCCTGTGTCTAACAAAATACACTGGGGCATTAATTTGCCTGTGTCTAACAAGATACACTGGGACATTAATTTGCCTGTGTTTAACAAATACACTGGGGCATTAATTTGCCTGTGTCTAACAAATACACTGGGGCATTAATTTGCCTGTGTCTAATAAAATACACTGGGGCATTAATTTGCCTGTGTCTAACAAATACACTGGGGCATTAATTTGCCTGTGTCTAACAAAATACACTGGGGCATTAATTTGCCTGTGTCTAACAAGATACACTGGGACATTAATTTGCCTGTGTTTAACAAATACACTGGGGCATTAATTTGCCTGTGTCTAACAAATACACTGGGGCATTAATTTGCCTGTGTTTAACAAAATACACTAGGGCATTAATTTGCCTGTGTCTTACAAATACACTGGGGCATTAATTTGCCTGAGTTTAACAAAGTACAACGGGGCATTAATTTGCCTGTGTTTAAAATACACTAGGGCATTAATTTGCCTGTGTCTTACAAATACACTGGGGCATTAATTTGCCTGTGTCTAACAAAATACACTGGGGCATTAATTTGCCTGTGTCTAACAAGATACACTGGGACATTAATTTGCCTGTGTTTAACAAATACACTGGGGCATTAATTTGCCTGTGTCTAACAAATACACTGGGGCATTAATTTGCCTGTGTCTAACAAGATACACTGGGGCATTAATTTGCCTGTTTTTAACAAAATACACTGGGGCATTAATTTGCCTTTGTCTAACAAATACATTGGGGCATTAATTTGCCTGTGTCTAACAACAACACTAGCGCATTTATTTTCCTATGTCTAACGATTAAATGTTTGAAGTATTTATTTCTCTCTAACAAATTTATTTATGTAATCCTTTAACAATACAATGGCAACTAAGATAAATGCGTTTTAAAACTGAAAATTCCGGTGATCCATATTTTTTAACCAAGCGGGCACGAAACCGCTAGCCTCGAAAAATGTAACAGCAAAGAAAGAGTAGCCCTGTCCCATTGTTTTATTGTATTACACATCTGGGCCGAGTTGTTCAAAGCTGAGTTAGGATAACCCAGGGTTAGTCCGAGATTTGAATTAAGATCTGAAAGCTTAAAAAGCATTTCAGCTTTAATTCTTTTTGTCTACAAGTTGATGATTGGAAGCTCTAAAAACAGCACAGAAAATTATCCGAGAAAATGCTTTTGAACACAAGATAAAGAAACCCGGGTTAATTTTAACCCCGGGTTAAGCGCTAATCGGCCTTCGAACAACTCGGCCAAGGCGTTCAAGGAAACTAGTATACCTTAATGAGGAAAATTTGCCGCTAAAACGTGTCGGGATTAATCCGGCTTATAACACCTTCAAGCAGTGGGGACCCAAATTCCTGAACCAGCCTAAGCTTGTCGTGCAAACAATTACCCAATCACGGTGCATATTTGGAGCCGTGATGCAGTGTTTGTTTTCATGAAGTTATGTATTGGCAGTCACGAGTCAAGAGAACTGAAGCGCAGCATACGCCATGAAAAAATCAGAGCGGAAAAGAAGTTAATATGAATCTCGTTAGGATGAACCATTTACAGGAAAAGATAAACGTGTCGTGTGTATAGACTAAATAGCGATAGAGCGGGCCGATCTTGAGAGCTTCTTTCTGTACTGTACATGAGGAGTTATTTCACAGTGGCCTCGGTAGCCAGGAAAAATATCCTGGTTCAGTTAAGGAAAGCGAATTTGTGAAAACAACAGTCTAATCATATGTTTTATTCTTCGGGATAAATAGTTTGCAGGAAGAGGACAATAACTTTATTACCTACGATTTCAGTTGCGGCGAAGCCGATTTATGCTGGGCCCGGAAATCTAAAGAAAATAAAAAATCTAAAGAAAATAGAAATCTTCATTTAAAGGTTATTTAGTCGCAGTAAAAAGCTATAACCCTTTACATTATAAAAACGTCTAAGAAAGGTTAAAACTCCTGCTCCACAGGCGTTCATGCATTTTGCTACAGACAATTGCTTCGCAAACAAAATCCGGCGGCCCGTCTACCAGAATAGCGACCCTTCTCCACAGTTCACATGGAAAAGCTAGAATATCTCAATATCTCTTGGGGAATGCTGTAGTGTCCGCTTAATACAGGGTGTCCGCCTAATACAGGTTTCAATACTGATAGATAACGTCATATGAGGTGTCAAATGCCATTCAAATGAACAGTGGAAACGTTTAGAATACTCCCAGAGACTATGACGATATACGTTTGCATGAATTTCTTCATCGAAGTGGACCAATTGAACATAGTACGTTAAACATAGATTGCAACTCAAATTTGAAGAAATCAGATGAGTGAAAAAAGCTCTATACAAACAAAACGAAATAGAAAACAATACTGAACTAGGAAACTAATCAAATAAGTTCGTCAAATCACGTTTTTTAATGTAAAAATCGAAAAAATTGGTGGGTTGCAATTCGACGCAATCTTTCTGATTTCCGGTGTCTGGTATGTTGGGTGGTGGAATTAAATTACAAGTGTCCGTTTAATACAGGTTGGCAACAATAAAAATGACCATTTTAGGTACTTTTTAGGTGTCCACGTCTGCTTAATAGAGGTGTCCGCTTAATAAAGGTTTCATTTAAAGTAAATAAGGGAAATAAATTTGGGGACTTCGACTATTGTCCGCTTAATAGAGGGTGTCCGCTTAATACGGTGTCCGCTTAATACAGGTTTTACTGTATCTCGAGAATGTCCAGAGGGGTTTTTGAAGGCCTGAAAAAATTTTTCACGAGAGATATTCCAAAGTGAAGATGATAATAACACGCAAAATTGACCGAAAATTGACACGTACATGAGAAGAAAATTCTCACTTTCTCTAACATTTCAAATCCATTTTTCATCACATTTTTCACAAGCCTTCCAGCCGTTTGTTCTTCGTTGTTGTGTTACAAAAAGGCGAGCAAAGACTGCTGGAAAAGCGCGAAACACAACAGATTCCCACGCCAATTCGAATCCGCTCGATGATACATTATTTCTAACCCGCCATGCTGTTGAGTCACATTTCCGAAAGTGTAAAAGCTCTGAACTGGTCATCTTTTTAACCCCCGTTCGGAGTAAATTTGTTCGTGTTTTTTTTTTTTTTTTTTACCAAAAATATGTTGCGTGCAAGCTTATTTGACTTCGTGATTTGCCGCCTTTTTAAAAAGACACAGAAATGCTACCATAAAGCTGGTAAATTTTAGGTGATTTTAAACAATTATTGGATGAGGTTGAGGTTTGTGATACCGGAATAATCAAGGTCGAGGCAAGTGTTATCAGCTAAGCCAAAGGCCGAGGCTAACAACACTTACCGACTCCTTGATTATTTAGGATATCACAAGAACCGAATCTATTCACGCTCCCAAGGGGGAGAGTTGAAAAAACTGACCCCCACTCCGCGGACTACCCACTGACCCCACTCCGCGGACTACTCTACGGACTACTCCGCGGACTACTCTACGGACTAGTCCGCGGACTACCATGCGGACTACCCTAACTAATCAACCAAATTTACTTTCACGGAGAAAAGAGTTAGAAGAAGCGTACCTGCCTACAAGATCANTTTTTTTTTTTTTTTTTTACCAAAAATATGTTGCGTGCAAGCTGATTTGACTTCGTGATTTCCCGCCTTTTTAAAAAGACACAGAAATGCTACCATAAAGCTGGTAAATTTTAGGTGATTTTAAACAATTATTGGATGAGGTTGAGGTTTGTGATACCGGAATAATCAAGGTCGAGGCAAGTGTTATCAGCTAAGCCAAAGGCCGAGGCTAACAACACTTACCGACTCCTTGATTATTTAGGATATCACAAGAACCGAATCTATTCACGCTCGCAAGGAACCTGAACTGATATTGTTATATGCATTGCGCGCGCAACCCACACAGTCAGTCAGTCTGCTAGCAGATAACTAACTAATCTATAATGTTGCGCTGATTTCCAAAATTAGCTGTTGGCTCTTAGCCAAAGAGAAGACAGTTAGTGAGTACAATGTATAATAATTGTAGTTACTTACGTTTATCTTGAGGATATTTTCCCAACTTGGTCACTTTGGAGCTGTTCATTACCTCAACCGCTGGACAGAGTGATCGCCTCTGAGGAGATTTCATTCTGGTCATTGACGCTGTGGTCGGAGCTGAAATATAAAATGGCGCAATAAATATTTGTTTTTCGTTCTTTCGGCATCTTTCCTCAGATGTTAAAACAAATGTTGTTGCTACAAAGAGAGAATCCCTTGTTTATTTGTCTTCTGCTGACCATTTTTGATAGAATGGAAGTGGGAAGTCAGATCATTGGGTCAACCAGCTCCTTCTTAAAAGGGATCGAAAAGGAAAAATATATTAAAGGAAGCGAGGAAATTATCAGTCTATGAGCTCCGAGTTTGAAAATTCATTTGCAGTTGAAATTCCCAGTAAAATAGTTCATTCTTTAAAATATCATCACTCACTTTTAGCTGACACTCTGGTTAGAATTAAGAAGAATTGATGTCTTCATTCAGAGTCTTTGTAAGAAAAAAGAAGATGCTTTCAGGCTATTTTCCACCACCGTACTCATTCAACAAAATGCTTCCCTCTCGGAGTATGGCAGATCTAGCTACTAAGAAAACGCAACGGGAAAATAGCAAGAACGCGAAATCACATGAAGAGAACTGAACGTCACTTATGGTGCTCATTTTCGCGCTCTGTCGTTGGTGAAGCCGGTTTTAAGACCTGCAAGCAGCGTCTTCAGCTTCGTCAAGTTTTCCTTGCTAAATCTGCCCATTTAATATACCTTAAAATTCCGAAAATAAGTACCTCCAAATACAAGCCCCCCAAACCGGTAACGCAAAAAACTCTCCGTTAAATAGCCCCTCCAAATATAAGCTCCCCGGGGGCTTGTACTTGGAAAATTGCCCTCAAATACAAAGTCAAACAAAGCCAAAAAGCGTTATTTTCCTTCCAACTATAAGGCTAGCCCAATCGATTTTGAAACGCACCAGATTTCCCTCCGTAGATAAGCCCCTCCGAATATAAGCTCCTCAAAAAGGGCCTTTGAAAAATATAAGCCCCGGGGCTTGTTTTCGGATTTTACGGTAATAGACGCCGAGCCGCTTCCTCGAGTAAAGATAGCATTCGCACATATTTTACCTGCAAAGGATTGTTTGTATTGTTTTCTTTCTGAGGGGTTTCTTGGCTTGGTATGTGGGTCTTGGCTCGGGACGAGCGTTCTCTCTAGGGACAATCTTCGTGCCTCGAGACCATGATTGTCGGGAAGGCGATCGACCGGAGCAAGGAAATCAGAGTGAATTATCCATATAATCGCTAGGACAACTAACGTTACGGCAATGAGTAATTGTGGTAACTTCTTTCGGACGTTTCTCATTTTGTAGTCCTACGCTCCCTTAATATCTTTATCTGGAAAAAAGAGAAATAAATATGTCACAACTAAGGGAATTTGTAACGAAGGAATTAGAAAGCGAATCTAAAAAAGTTAACTTTGGTTAAACTCGGTGATCTATTGTATTTTCTTCTTTCGTTTACTTGTAGCAGGTTGGCATTAGTTGCAGTTAGTACAGTCGACTCCCGATAACTCGAACCTTCAAGGGAAATCGAAAAAAGTTAGCTATAGTTTGAGTTATCGGGAGCTCGAAGAAAATTGCTGGGAGTAAGGAAAAAACAGTTTTTACTGCACAGTGAACATTTTAATCACATTTAATTGTAGAAATGTTAAGTGAAAATTAAAATATACTTCTAGATTATAAGTCAGAACGTTTTGAGAAGTAAAGTTGTTTCACCTTAGATTGGTGACAAACAACATCAGCCTCCACTAATAAACTAACTACATGCCTACACCAGCTCAATGGGAAATTCAAAATTCAATGTTTCGGAACCCAGTGCACAGTTTTTTCCCGAATTTTTAAGGGCTCAAAACATGGTTCGGGTTATCGAGAGTAAAACTATATAGAAAAGATCGGAAAATCATTTGAAAAGAATTGCATGGTTGTTACATTTTGTGTTCACCTTGAAAGCACGATTTGTAAAAATCCATCACTTTTCTTCTACTTAGCAAAACAACACATTTATGCGTTAACAGTATGTTACATGCAGTTTAATAATTACTTTGTCACTGAGAGGGTATAAGAGGGGTTTGGCGGGGGGGGGGGGGTCATCTCGTAAGTATTGGATAAAGGAGGGGAGTCAGTTGCTATTTACATGGTCTGCAGGGGGGCCTTACAGGAATTTTGATCTTTCCAACATATTTTTCCTTCCCTCCCCCCC